CCAAAAACTCTCAAAAGTTAGTCCAAAACCTTAGGCTGTTTCCCATTTTAGTCCACTAACTTAGGTCGATCCAAATTTGGTCCAAAAACTCTCAAAAGTTAGTTAAATCAATCCAATTTCAGTCCAATTGATTGGTCAATTTCAGTCCAATTTTAGTCCAATTAGACTGATTTAACTAACTTTTGGGAGTTTTTTTACTAAATTTGGATCGGCCTAAATTAGTGGACTAAAATGGGAAACAACCTAAGTTGCTGGACTACAATTGCAATTTTCTCCTGCAAAGTACACAGTAAAAAAGCAAAGGGCAACCCACCGGACCCGGGATGGTTGAAAGTGAACTCTGACGGAGCTCATGAAAGCCGAACGAGGCTAAGCAGTGCGGGGGGTCTGTAACGGGACAAAATGGGACGGTGGATCTCGGGCATCATCATGAATATCGGTACTTGTACGTTTATAGGAGCCGAACTTTGGGGTCTTTTCTAGGGGCTTTTACTAGCTCGGGACTCAAGGCATCGACAAATTATCGTTGAGCTTGATAGCCAATATGTTATGAGGATGGTGTTGAATGTGAATGGCGCGTTTGGACCTATGCTATGGCAAAGGCGATTCAAGAATTATTACAGCGGGATTGGATAGTTAGAGATCAGCATGTTCACAGAGAAGCTAATTTTGCGGCTGACCACCTAACGAGCTTGGCGGGATCATACCCGACTGGCCTGCATCGAGTCGCCTCCCCGCCTATTAGAGTCCCTGCATGGCTTGAGCACGATAGTATTGAGATTTCTTATTCCCGACGAGTTCTAGACTAACGTTGTTGAACTTCTTATTTGTACCAAAAAAAAAAAAAATAATAATAATAATAATAAAATAAAAAGCAAAGGGCTAGGACAGAAAACAAGATCAGTATTAATTAGAAAACACGACATAACTCAAAAGCTGACAGATTTTCTTCATTCCTGACTCCTAATTAGGCTCGACAACAAACCCAAAAACACAAGGAAGAAAATTCATCAGCTCCACAAATTACAAATTACATATTAATCTCCACTTATTCCAAACACACAAAACACAAAATTTGCAAACCTCTCAACTTAAATTAAGTCATGGTGCTCCATAGCAAAGCGTTCCCTGGCCACAACATTCCCAACAACTTCTCGTGTCTCTCCCTATTCTGAATATTATCAGTACACTTTGTTCAACTCAACTCGCGTGTGCTGATAACATTCAGAATACAGAAAAATGAATCCCATGTATTAGGTAGGGGAACTTTTTGCTACCCATCACTTGCCGTGCACTCGCTTGAAAAGAAAATAAATAAAAAAAAAACTACGAAATACGATATTTATTATGACCTTTTTTTATATGTAAAAATAATAAAAAAAAAAGTCAAGGCTCGTCATCAGAGGCGGGTGTGATGGAACAATCTCTCTCGTCCTTGAGGGAAGGATGGGGAGAGTGGCCATTCCCGAAGGAGCGGACGTGGTCCTTGAGAGAGCGCTTGTGCTTGAAGTCAGAGCCGCAGGTGCAGAACCACAGCTTCCCACAGTTCTTCTCGTGGGTACGCCAGTCGCCTTTCACTGCAAAGGTCTTTCCACACGACTTGCGGCGGCAGGCAAAGGGTCGGGCCCCGTGCTTGCGCTTGTAGTGGGTTTGGAGGGTTCGGAAGTCCTTGAGTGGGCGCGCCCGCGGGTTGTTTATATTGTTCTTGCAGCCCTGGGCGCAACAGTAGCACGGCAGACGCAGCATGGCCGCCGGCTGGCTACCCCTCAGCGACTCCGGACCCTTCCGGAACTCCGACCCGTGGCCCCACATGTGCATCTGCATTTATATATGCAGTCATTTTATTAGGTCAATAAACTAATGGCCGTGTTCAAATGAAAGAAGGAAAATAAAACATGTTTGTCTTTTGGTAAATTTTATGGAATATGGCAAGCATATTACAATTAAGTTACTTGGCCGAATTTCATATTATTGATTAGAATAGAAAAAAAAAAAATAAATAATTGAACTCGGAATTGGCTAGAAGCATGCATGAAAAAAATGACTCAACATTTTCGTTAAAAACAAATAATGTTAAAACTAACTAAAAGCCACTGAGACTGTTATGAAAGCAAATTAAGATTGTAATTACATCCATTATAAATTAGTGTGTTAGAATATCACTTGTGAGTTGTCCCACATCGTTCATCTATGGAAAATAGACCCACCTTATAAGTCTAATGGGCTACTCCTCCTTCCACCAATTGCTTTTGGAATGAAACCCCACTTGGGCTTCATGTGGGCTTTCCCCGCTTATGGTGCGGTTCATGTTAGTGGGACTGCACCCGTTTTTCCCCCAATTTCTTACCGTAACAATTACAATATGCTAGATACAGAAATTTTATGATTAAACTATGTGGCACATATAGTCATTCATTTTTATTCTTCTACAGAATCCCAAATATGGTGTGTAAATGTGTGTGTATGTGTTGATTATGTATTTCTAGTGTGCAGTTTCATATTTAAGTAAGTTTTGCCGTATTCTTCTACAGAATCCCAAATATGGTGTGTAAATGTGTGTGTATGTGTTGATTATGTATTTCTAGTGTGCAGTTTCATATTTAAGTAAGTTTTGCCGTATTATTTTAAGGGCTAAATTGTAAAATATAGTCAGGATCTTGTACGCGGTGGCAATAATAGCCACCATCTTTATGAATTGGCAATATTAGCCAACAACTTTCAAAATTTTGAAATTATTACCTAAATTCAACTAAATTCGACAGATAAATTGCAAAATATAGTCAGTATCTTTTTACGCAATGACAACAATAGCCATCAAATTTGGTCGGACATGGGTAATAACACCAAAATTTTAAAATTTATTGGCTAATATTGCCAATTCGTAAAAATGGTGGCTAATATTGCCACCGCGTATAAGATGGTGGTTATATTTTGCAACTAAGCCTATTTTAAGTATAATTACATCCAATATTTATGTTTTTAAACCATGTATGTATAAGTTTGTTGGGTCATCCTTAATTTGATTTTATATAAGCTCTTTCAATTATTCTAATCATACATTGGTGCAGAAAGCCATAATTAATCATACATGGTTTCTTATTGATAGGAATTGGTGATGACGGTGTTACAAACAAATCGAGGGTTTGTTAATTAGGGGGACCCAAAATTGATAATTAACGATTATGAACAAATCCCTACCAATTTGTCCCCTCAAATCAATAAATGTGATAGTAATGATGAGGTTTAATTTCTTATTGAATTCAATCATCTTATATATGGACTTTATTTAAATATTGGTATAAAAAAACGAAAATAAGAATAAAAATTAAATAATTGATTTAAAAAAATGATTACAAGAACTCGACGGAATTAAAAAGTTCAATAATTTCATATTTATTTAGGTCATCTTCCGCCCTTTCATCAGATCATGAACACAAACCTTAATTAGTTAAAATTAGACCTTAATCTACTCTACGTAATGACCTAAAATTCTTGAATCTTTTCATGCAAGAGTACAAGATATAACTTTAACTTAAGTAAGTTTATTAATTTTACCTACTGAACACAAGATTCACATTGAAATTCTCTCTCTAGCTAGGCAATTTAAAATCAAAACAATCGATACCTTAATATTATTAACAAAAAGAAATTAAATTGAATTAAATATGACTAACCTGCATGTTATTGTACCTATTGAAGGTCTTGTTACATATGTCGCAAGAAAACTGCATAGGCCCGACAAGAATCTGAGCTGGTGTTGGGATCCAAAACCTCCTCTCCTTACTATAACTGCATTCATTAGAAGAACCTTTTGTGTTCATAACATCATCTCCTTTTCCCTCCGGCTCATGATAATGCTTTTGACGATCACGATCCGTTTCGATATCTCCTATATCCGGCAACCCTATGTGCAAAGCCACAGCCACATTCTCGGCCTTGTCGTTTTCTCCTTGTCCCTCGTCTTTTTCCTCTTCCTTCACTTCTTTCCTCTCTGTTAGCCTGCTGAGAAGAGGCAAACATTGGATCGACTCGTAAAGATTGTATTCCCCGTGTTTTTGGGGTTGTTGATTGAAGTAAAGAGGAAATTCCATGAAATTCATTGATTCTTTTTTTTTTGTTAATTCCTTTTTTTTTTTTTTGGGTTTTGGTTAGTTTAGTTTAGTTAGTTAGGTCTTGTGAAGAAGAGAAAGAAGAATGTAGTGAAGGAGAGGAAGGTGGCTTGATCCAATATTCATCAAGATATGGAGGATGAGAGCATAAATTTATATTAACCCCTTTGGACATAGTGTGGGTTACTTGTGCCCCATGTTAAACAATTAGTTGAGAGATTTTGTTATTATTTTTATATGTATATTTTTTGAACTTATATTCTAAGTTGGAATCATTATATTTGGACTTTAGTGTGGGAAAGCATGAACTAGAGTTTGATTTTTTGTGAATGCTGCCTCTTTGTGGGGGTGTTCATTTGTTGACCATTGTCAATGATTTTTTTTTTTTTTTAATTTTATACATATTTTGGTAGTAATAATTGTGTTGATTAAAAGATAATGAGACAAGGGTTAAAATAATTTACTGCTACGGTTAGTTCACGAGTCTGAGTTGAAAATATGGAAACCCTATTTCTACAGATACTAGACTAGGTATACAAGGTTTGGTAGAATTTAATTACTAGCGTGATTTAGAAGCTGTTTTGTTCAGTCCTAAAAGCATTTATGTAGTGGGCAACTAAAAAGAAAACGAAATTAAGGAAAAAAAAAAAAAAANNNNAAAAAAAAAACACACACACACACATGTGTAAAAAGGAAGACAAACAAACAAGTTGTTTGTTTCACAATATTTTTACATACGGGGAGAGTTGAGAAAGATATTAGTGGTGGGGTTAAAGGAAAATGACATGCAACAATCGAGTCTAACCTGATGAAGAGAATCCGAGAATAGTCGCAAGTCTGGAAATAAGCCACACCGTGAGTTGCAAGGAGTGGATATTATAACTGAAACAATTCTTAAAGGAAAAACTGTAATTTAGTCAAATCATATTTGGTCAATTACAGTTAGTTTATTAATTTTTTTAAGGTTGATTTTGATACGCCAATTGTTGTTAGACCAGGTTAAATCGAAAACTCCACGAACGGTCATCTACTTGAGCTCAGGTGACCTACAATACGTTAGGGAGGAGTGATACGGAAGTGGGTTCCGTACCCCTATGACAAAAAAGGCCAAGAGTCGAGACGACCTGATAAGGCTGAAAATAGGGCCAAAACGATGCAAGCATGGTCTAAGAGACGAGTACGAGCTCGTATGCGGGACACTCAAGCACATGAGAAGCGGCGCGTACAAGGCAATAGACAAGGGCGCACACACGCGCAATGGCGTAGACGTGCATGGCGCTTTGACATTAGGCGAAGTGGCGCGCAGGGAGAGGTTGTTGGGTGGATGGCGCGCGAGGCGGATTGCTATGGGCCAATGAACGGATGTGCGAGTACATGCGGGTGGGCAGGTACGAGCCAGCGACGCGCATCGGGACTTGATGTACGCGAGAGGACGAGCGAGCGAGTGGGTGCGCGGACGGCGTGGGGTGCACGGGTGCATCGAGCGATGGGCGATGCACGGGCATTGGACGCGATGGACGACGAGCGCGGGGCGTACGGTGACACGCGCGAGGCACAAGTCAAGACCGGGGTGGCAAGCCTAATCCTTGTAGGAATAGGCAAAGCGCGAATACTAATCCTCGCAGGAATAGGAAAAACAGTTGAGTGCCAGAACGCGCGAGGGAGATCGGTGACGGAAGTAATCCTCGGAAGATCAGGAAACGTAACCGGGAGCATATTCCTAGTAGGAATAGGAATAGAGGATATGGGCTCGAGGCATGGTCCTACAAGGAATAGGAATGGCGCATGTGGGGCGTGAGGCCTTAAGCCTCGAGGCGAGAGGACATACATGGGCGAAGGCGGTGCAGCCCTAGTCCTCGAGGACTAGGGCAAGGCGTGAGGGCGGCGCATATGTTGAGGCGGCGAAAGGGTTGAGGCGTGTGGAAGACTTGGAGCTTCTAGAATTGCTTGGTGTGCAAGCCAAGCAATAGTATTTTGGTAGTGGTAGGATTTTCTTGCTTTCTAGTGTTAGGTTTCTATTATTGCAAGATTTAGGAGATCTAGTATAGTTAGGCTTAGATTTATTTTGCACCTATAAATACCCCATGTACCTCTTCATTAATAAAGATGTTGAGTCTTGGAATTGATGAGTGAATCTCATAAGGGGGAACTTGATGTTCTTACGTATGTTTAAACAAGGCCGTTAGAGCGTGTTTACATACAGTGTCGGAGAGAAGGCCGTTAGTGCATCATGAAGTCACGGTATCTAGGAGAAGACCCCGAGTGCGTCTGTTAGATACACCTATCGTGGATAAACGAAGGCCCTAGTGCGCGTTTATTCACAACCACCGAATAGATAACAACACGATCCGTCATCATTGGTGCTTTCATTGAGAGGTGCTGATCGTGTTTCTTTATCTATCTATCTTTTTTTCTTTTTTTCGGTTTGCCTTTTGCTGAGGGGTCGAATTTTTGTTCTTTTTTTGTTCGAAATTTTCGAATTTTTATTCGAATTTTTCAATTTTTTCGTGTCTTAAAAAAAAAAGTGTCATCTTGTTAGTCCTTTGTTTGATTTTTGTTCGGTTATTACCTTTTGTTGAGGGGCCGAA